AAGGCTCCAAACGGCCCTTTCCACTCGTGTCTCGGAGCTGCATTGAGTCTTGAATAATAGAAACAGTCTTCACACACACACACACACACACACACACACACACACACACACACACACACACACACACACACACACACACACACAGGCGGTATATGTACACATTGATCTTAACCAGCTTAAGGTGGAAGTAATCCTCCAGCTTTTCCCAAAGATTGATTCTCCTCTGTTGATTCTCCCTCTTGTTCGCCCTTTGCTTACGCTTGATATTTTGACTAGGTTAGCAATCATTGACGGGGCTGTTCTTCATACGACGAGCGCAGATTGAATAGTAAAAGAGATGCAATCAGGGTCGCTGTATAGGTTGCTCTATCCACTGCCTTGTTATCAGATGAATGAAATATGAATTACTCTTGTTTCGGCACAGACATTTCAATCCAGGCCAGAAAGTCTTAAAGTCCTCCGAATAACAAGGCAGTGTGTTGTGTACTGTGTGCAGCACTTAGAGGTGCCGACAGCATGCAGGAAAACAATGTCTATAAAAGCGGTAGGTTTACCACACACTTAATCTCTTCTAGAGCAACATGTTTCAGTTGTTTATCTATTTAAAATTTCATGGAACAAGGAAAAGCCTTCAGAGCAAATGGCGTGGTTTGCAATGCCGCTTTGTCAGGTTCACTCATATTTACGTTGAGGCAAATGTGTTTCACTTTATAAAATACCCACTACAGGCTATTATATTCCTACGCTGCAGCAATCACTTCTCTCTGTGTAAGTCTTTACAGTCGAGTTGAAGTGAGCTATAAGTCACAAATAATCCTCGAATAACACATTTTTCACGAGGCCCTGCTTGGTTATTAATTTCAGTCTGAAGTTTTCTGTTTATGTGAACCATTATCAATTAGGGGTATCAATGGTAAAAGCTAGTTTAGTTTGTTTGCTTTATGGGAGAAAAGGAGTTCTCTATCATGTTCAGTTAGAAGGGAGACACTGGGCACATTGAAAATATGCTTTTTTGAGTTTTCCCTTTCCTTTAGTGGGTTGTATAGGTTGTATAGGTATAGGTACCTCCATTGGACTCCTTTGTTTACTTCCCTAACATTATGACATCACTATGTAACATTCACGCTTCTATATAAAGACCTTTTTGACCATTAAAGAAAGTAATCATCAGAAAATACAAATATGAACCTGAAAATAAGCATGATATGTCCTTTTTTACGATTTGGAAAGATAGGGAAATTCATTAATTACATTTGTAATGCCCATAGATGGATAGAGATGTCAGCACTACCTTAAATACCTGGTGTTTATATACAGTAAAGCATCATTGTAGATTTTCTAAATATTACAAAACATCCTGACATTATATTGAATCAGCTTTGTAATAAAATAAGACTGATATTCATATCATCCTAACAAATGAGGTATAGCGAGCAGCTGCATGTTCCAGCTGTGTCCCCTTCACACCGCTACAGTCTGACTCTCACTGGTTTAGACAAATAAACCATTCTGCCGGTATTCCCCAGAAGTTGCTTCTTATAAGTCAAGACCTTGCTTTGATTTGACATTATCAAAGGACTCAAAGTGAAATACGTCTGACAAGGCCTGATATCAAAGAGATTTCAGCTCCACTCCTTTCTGACCAATCTCTTCGAGAGCCATTTCATTGACAGACTGACACGAGCCTGTTTCTCTTTAAAGGCATGCTGCAGGTTCTCCACATATTCCTTGTTTATCAGTCATATTTTGTAATGTTTGTGAGTAAGCATTTTGTTTATTTTATTGATGTTGTTGTTAGCTGAAAATAACATTATCTTTTGTAGGGAAACAAAAATATTATTTTTTTCCAGAAAGATTATTTTGTATCATGCAATTTCCCTTTAGACAAACATCCTTATAAAACATGCAGCCTTTTCATATAACTTACATTTAGATTATTAATATTTACCGTAGGTCTATCTGAAAAGGTTAGAAATCTTTTATGGATAGAAGTATTAAGCAGACTTTAGGTGGGTTTTCTTTTCCATTTTATTTTATGAGAACAGAGTACACAGTATCCCTCATCAACAGTTAGCTTCCTTCAATATTGTACGAGCAAAGGTGCTGGAGATTATGCAGGCATTTATATTTTATGAATGCTGAATAAATTCAACATTTTCCTGCCTCGGATAGAAAAATGTAAGCCGATGTGATTTGAAAAGCCTAATATAGCAGATTGAGTAATAGTTACAAGCCAGCTCAAATTCATTTGCTAAAATATTTTTCATAATTTTTCCTGTCAGCTCCATTATAATTGTTAAAACCTGTCCATGTGCCCACTGTTGACAAGTCATTTCAAATTCCTCTCCCTGAAATGTTATGATATAGGATTTGGCATCACAGACTCGTTTCCCAGACAAAGACTAAATGAGAAGGCCTCGAAGCATTTCAAAACTTGATGGACACAAATTATGCAGCACTCCTAAGTCCTTTTGTGTTTCTTAATTGGAATTATAATGGAGGTTTTCCTTTACCAGCAGAGGCATTTTCTTAAAGTGGGACTTTACAGTTATTCAAAATGGATATTAGAAAGAAAAAAACACTCACCTTAATGCCTCCCTCCAGAGCCCCCTGTGTTTATTAATGGGCAAGGAATACATTAAATGTATTTCCTCTCTCCTTTAAACCACAGGCTTGCGTCAGCTTTGACTTTTACAGTAGAGACTAACAGCTGTTATGAAACAACTCCTCTCCACAGACCTTTTATACCTCGCTAATTTTTTGAAATGCCAGCTTAAAGCCTTGTTGACATAAAGTCAGAAGCTCGCACAGAAAAAAAAGAGAGCTACTTATGTCAACATAAGACTTTTTAAAGATTTCTCTGTGGCATTTGGCTTTACTGAAAAGAACAGCAGAGACAGAGAAACTAATTAAAAACTTTTCTGTTTTGGACTACATTATAACAAAAAATCAATATGTTTTTTTCCAAAAGTTCACTTGTTTGGTGTCATATGAGCATGTCATGTTTGTGTATAAATCATGCCTAGTGTATTACAAGACAATACTGAGAGTCTACAGTTGCTTGAGTTAAATGTCTTCATGCTAACATGCTCCATTAAAATGCTAGCATGCTGATGTTAAGCAGGTATAGTGTTTAACATGTTAACCATCCGTCTATGGTTAGCACGCTTACGGTTACTATTTCGTTTTAAACACGAAGAACAGCTGAGGATGAGGTAACGTCATTAGTACTGCAGATACTATTGCATTTACATTTAGCTGTAATAAGCGGAGTATAGCTTCGGTAGTTTTTTTATAATCATATACACAAAGAAGTAGAAGTAGTAGGGAGGCTGTGGCGCAGTGGATTAGTGCGTTGATTTTGGGATCAGGAGAGCACAGGTTCAAACCCCACTGCAGGCAGCATGTCGTTGTGACCCTGAGACACTTCGCCCCAAATTGCTCCTTTGGGGGTTGTTCACAGTATTGAGTATGTAAGTCCCTTTGGATAAAAGAGTCTAACATGTAATAGTACAACATAAGACTCTTTTTTTTCTAAATTTCTTACAATTTAGCAATTCTTCAACATAACACAAATAATTGTGCAAATGAATCCCCTCCTTTCCTACCATCCCCCAGCAGAAATAAGCTCAAAGAAAATACAAAAATACTGAATAGTTAATAGAAAGTTCAAAATACCAAAACAAAAATATAGCTAGCTGCATACAGCAGCACCAGAATCCATGTCATGGTGCACAGATGGCATATTTGCCGTTGAGCTAAGATGATGTGTGGGTGATTTTCAACGCCATCAAACAAAAGCTGAGTTTGATGGCAAGTAAATATGTTTTGCCGCTGACAATCATCTGGTTTTAGCTCCCTAAAGAAGGCAGGAACATAAGACTCTGCAATAAGAAGAATTATGTTGTGGCTTTCTGTAGGAATTTTGAATAGAGCAGAGGGGAAAGTGGAACAATGGATCGAAAAGTTGCAGAGGCCTTTTTTAAAATTCACTTTTATGAATGATGTGCATGTAAACAATAGTGCATAAGGAACATTGTGGGTGCTCTGTATCTCTCTATGATTAATGTATGTGTTTATGACTCTAAAAGCTTTCTAACAACCCCTCCACATCCTTTATTTCACTTTATTTCTCTCGCCCTAATTTTATGTTGTGTTTTTGTATTGGAAAAATCAATAAAGACAATGTTTAAAAAAATATATCTATTTTTACGATTATGTTCATAAGTTTACTTTTCCTTAGCATGAGTGGAATGGCTTAAGCTGGCCTAGCCTTTTGGATGCCTCGTAAAATAAAACATCAAACAATTTCTTTGCATGCATACATTTCCTTCTCAGTGCAGAGCCACAGAGGCCGCCATCTGAATATTCATCATTTCCTTCCTTCCTTCCTAGATCTCCTACAAGGCAGTGAGCTCCTTTGACCCCGAGCTTGACCTCTCCAACCAGAGTGGGAAAGTAGTGAAGTTGGGCAACGAGACCACCCACATGTTCACAGGCCTCTACCCCGGCTCCACTTACTCCTTCACCCTGCGCGCCAGCACCGCCAAGGGCTACGGCCCCCCCATCATCACCCAGTTCACCACCAAGATCTCAGGTCAGTCGGGTCAAAAGCATGGCCACTCAGTGTGTGGATGAAGTGGAATAAGTAGTGGAGCACTTACTGCCGCTGGAGTTATTTAGGTCCAAATGTGAGGAAGGAATATGGAACTTGATTATAACTGGAACAAAGAAAGAAAGCACTCATTTCACTTGCATTGTCCGGAGGGTTAAAGATTAAAGTAAAGCGAGTGGGTCATTATTGTGAAATCAACCAACATTGCTGAATAAATCAATTATTTTAACACATTATATTGTTTAAAAAAACGTGTTTATGTCCACTGGAGTCTATGATCAGAACTGCGTCCATAGCAACTGTTCAGAAATAACAGACCACATAATTCTGTAATTGACCAATCAGGATGGAGTATTAAACAAAGCCTTGTAATATATTTATTTTTCTTATTTGATTCAGTTATTGCCCTACTTGATTCAATTCTGGTGCTGTTTTGTTGAATATTGATGCTATTCTCTCTGGAAATTTAAATAATTTTAATTCCATTGTCCAATTGTTTAAAGACAAAATGTGCCATAGTTTCCATGGCTTGATTTAGATCATGACGTGAGGCGTGTTGGCAATTTTTCTTAGTTTGCACATTTTTATATTGAGATCTATGTTCACATATTCAAAGCATTTCTTTTGGCAAGATGCTGGAATATGTGACAGCAGCAAATGTTTCACTCCTCTGTTATTGCTCTACTTAATGATTAAATTATGGTGCTGTAAAGGGAAAAGGCAGTAAGTGCTCAGTGTAAAACTGAGAAAATTGGCAGCAATTTTTTTTTATTTCTGTTTACTGCCGAGCTGAATGACTCATTATACAACATGGTGCAGACATAAATTGAACTGTTTTGAACCTTTGCATTGCAGTGTAGTAAAGACCCCATAATGTGTTTTCTCCTTAGCTCCTTCCATGCCGGCGTATGACCAGGAGACCTCTCTGAACCAAACGGACAGCACCGTCACTGTACTGCTCAAACCTGCCCAGAGCAGAGGGGCCCCCGTGAGGTAAGCTTTCACAATCAGAACTCACTCACGCACACACACACACACACACACACACACACACACACACACACACACACACACACACACACACACACACACACACACACACACACACACACTACTACTACTACTACTACTACTACACACACGTACTACTACTACTACTACCTACCTACTACTACTACTACTACTACTACTACTACTACTACGTACTACTACTACTACTACTACTACTACTACTACTACTACTACACACTACTACACACACACACACACACACACACACACACACACACACACACACACACACACACACACACACACACACAGGCACACGCACCACACACGCACCACACACACACGCACCACACACGCACCACACACGCACCACACAACAACAAAACAGCACATTAAAACACCAGGAACCACCATCAGCAACAGCAATTATCAAAGAGCTTGTGTTATCAATACCCCACCGTGCAGGGAAATTGCCAGGATATTCAGTAGCTTACTGTACGCTTCTCATTTTCTCAGATTTATTTGTTTGTGGATTTTGATCCTGTGAAAAAAGAAGCACATCCCTTTGAAGATGAGAACAAAACCCGGTGCAGCCAAGCCTAGCTTCAGGATCTCTTTCCTTTTACAAGTCTTTTATGTAGCGGGCTGCCCACCCCGAGCCACCACAGGCTTTCTGCGAAACGAAGGAATTCTGCCCGCTTGATGCTGCATTTGTTGCTCATTATTAGGGAAGCAGTGCAGCTGTACTGTGTACAGAAAATGCCATGCTGTTGGGCAAATGTCATCACTTTTGGTTTACCCAAGGCCACCGTCGGCTTCTGGGAGCAAAACTGCTTTCTTGATGATCTTTTTGTTAGTCAGTATTAGCTGTTACGCTTATTCTGTCAATGCAGCCTAGAATTCAAGCTTATCCTTCCTGTTTATTAGCATTTTGTTGCCAGGTAACAGCTTGGGTTCAAATGTGTTTTCCTTGTCAGCCATTGATATTAATATTAGGGATGCTCCGATCGATCGGACGCCGAATCTGAACAGCCTTAGATTAAATTATTCAGGTCTATTTTTCTGTACCAAAACCTTACATATAGTTGTATTGCACCTCAAATGTTTCTTTGTATAGCACGTATAAGAACTACAATTTAAAATAAAATGTTCTCGTATATCAAGAAAGTTATTTTATCCGAAAAAAGGCATTATTGAATGAATAAGGAATAACAAATTGAGTACAAATGAACTCTACACATTACAGGAATAGTTTGAAGAAGGAAGATTTTTGGGGAAAAATACAAATTTCCCTTTTTTGAAGACACTCTTTCTGTGTAAATATAAAACTATAGAACAATTAGGTTAAACTAGACCTGGAACTACAGGAAATCAGATACCAGCACAAACAAGACATGTTAATTACGCAGCGTCCACACGGCGCCATACAGTCTATGGTTGAAGCTTACCGGTGGGCGTGTCTGAAAGTCGACCAACAACCAATCACATGAATCTCCCGCCCCGGACACACAAGCAGCGGTTTGATTGGCTAGAGCTTGTACTGTCATATGATTTGATTGGCTGACGCTTCGGTCGAAGCTTCAAAAGTTGAACATTGCTGAACTTTTGAAGCGAGCAACGTGAGCAAAGCGAAGCAACGTGAGCACAATGCAGTTCGGCAAAGTGTGACGTCACCCCATTCAAAGCTTCAACGCACGCCGCCGTGTGGACGGGCCGTTAGCTCGCTTCAGGGGTGCTGGTAGACAGATTCATATTTAACAGATAAGAGTGTGGTATTGATCTTATCTTTTGGCAAACACATTTTCAAAGATGAAAATGAATCCTTTCAACTTAAAGCACACATAAGGATATACCTTTCTACATAGTTCCTAAGTCAAACACGAGAGTTAGCAGTAGTGCACTGTCTATGCCAATATTAAAGGAAAGAAGAAAAGCTCAAAATAGCACAACAGAGGGACCCTAAAAGAGGGGGTTAGCCCCTTCATATGAGGAGTGATAAACGCTGCTCCCTGTAAAACTCAATTTTACACTATCACCTCATCTGAGTCCTTTAAAGATTACAGCCTGGAGATCTTTAGTCAGGCTTGTCAGCTCATGTTTACCGTATGTGCAGCTGCCCAGATGAATGCCCCGGCGCCAAATGGAGAGAGGCCTGAGCAAGAAAGACAGAGTGATCGCTTTTTAATCTCCTCGCAGGTACAATTCAGAAGGCCTTATTCATGCTGCCATTCTTTCAGTGGGCTAATTACAAACCCCTAATTATAATTAACAGAGTGTCGTGAATCGGAGCTTCCATTAATTAGCATGCTGGATTCCTCTTTTGTGTACCGTTGGAAGCCACGCTCACCTCGCCACCAGATGACAGAGATCCGTCTTTGGAGATGTGACCCCAAGTTGAAGATCCACCTCTTAACCCTTAGATGCATAAGTGGGTATCTTTTGACCCGGTGAGGTGGCTTTCTTTGAGTATCTTTGTAATTACATTTTTTTTATCATTTAATATTCCAGCTATTCCTCAAAAAACATGTTTTGGATAACATACCATTCACATTTTAAATTTACATTTTAAGAAATTGTAGTTTTTGTATTACTACCCCAAGCTTCCAAAAGTGGGTCAAAAATGACCTGCATGCATTTCCTATGGAATTTCGTTTCTTTTTTTTCAAAATGTAAAAAAAATGTCTAAAATAGTGAAATATTAAATATAACATATTTCTAGTGTGAACCAAAATATAATACTTCATATTATACAAGTGATTTTTCTTAACAAAAACGGCATAAAAACACATATTATTCTAATACGGGTCCTTTTTGACCCACTTATGGAAGAGTGTAGGCTCCAGTCACTCTAAGGGTTAACTGTTTCAGTGACAGAGCTTGTTTTTATTATATAAAGAGAAAATAATGTGTTTTGATACCTTTTATTTTGAGCATCATATATGTTTTATGAATCCCTCAAGATGATCCATTAAAACAATCTAACCATCATTCATCACATGGAGTTCAGCACATGGCGAAAAGAACAACTCAGAACTAATGTAGGCGCGCTTTGATCACAGCAGAGCCTCCCCACTTCTAAACTTTAGGGGTTTTCAGGTACACATTTATTTTCCACACCTCCTCCCTCTGTCTTAAATCTCGCAGGACATAAAGGTCGGTATGCTGCCTTCATGTGCACGCCTGATGTCTGGAAAAAATATGAATTGCAAAAGAAAAGAGGTGGTGGAGGGCAGCAAACAGGAGAGATTATGATGCAGTCCTAAAACGAGATACCAGCAGGCTTTTGAAGGTTTTTTTCCCACCGCCACCTCGAGTGACACGCGATGCCTTTGAACATTTAAGGTGACTATAAAGTAGCTTTCATTCAGAGGAGTGTGGCAAGTCTGTTGGGATCTGCTGTGTGGCCAAAAATGATAATATGTTTGGCCTCCTGAATTTCCACAGCTCCAAAAATTACAACATATTTAATCTTCTTTTGGATTTGGGGTTTGAAAAAAGCATGATTAAGACGTTTTAGACGCATATAACGAGATGTTTTCCAAATTGTTTCTTGAGCTAGAATACTGGAAAGAGTCCCATTAGTCTAAAAACTCTAAAACATAGATATAATTTAAATTCCACACCATAGTTAGATATAATGTTGTGCTGCCATGTTTCAAAAGGAGCCATCACTTTTCTAGAGTGGTGGGAGGCTCGTTTTGAAATTGAACACTTTATGAAATCAGTTTTTTTTTAAAGCCCATAAGAAGTAGTGATTTGACAAGGGAGAACACTGATCTGCAGCGCCACAGAGCAAAGCAGCATGAGGCTTGATTTGATAACGCAATCTTGCACACTGATTGGGTTTGCGAGGTAATAGAGCTCCAGACATTTGAGTTTCGAGCAGCAGATGTTTTGCTGTAATACAGGAAGGGGAACTCACTGCAAGATCACACGATAGCGGTAGCTCATAAAAAACCCAAGACGTAACAGACGACAAATGTCCGTTTCACTCCATCATCCTGCAGTCATGCTGAAGTCAAATCATATTTCCAGGCAGACGTTGTCACTGCTGAGGGAGGAAGTCAATTCTTCATTTTCCCGTATAATTGCTAATCGGTATAACATTTCCAACTTGGATTTGGCTCTCTAATCTCCGGGGACGACACACGCAGCTGGGAACAATTTTTACCAGAGGGGACACTGTTCCTTTAAGAGGATTAGTGAACTGTCTATCAGTCATGTCGTGTTTAACTAACGTTTGCAATGGCCCCTCGTCAGGGAAATTCGCCTCCTCCATGGCATCAAAATAAATATTCACATGCTTCTGAAGAAATAACTGATTTGAGATGCTTTCCTTATCGTTCAAACCACTAAATCAGCCCTTCTCTCTTATTCTGACATAACCTTTGCCTTGGGCTAGCTTTAACACATATACATAAACAGCAAAATACAGCAGCTTCTGGCGTTGAAAGTATTATATTGAGGAAACCGAGCTCCTCTGTAGTACCATCAGATTATCTGTGCCCAACCATGGCCTGAAATCAGTTAAGTGATTTTCTACAGTCTTAAAATAAGCACTAACTTTCTTTGATCACGGCATGGCAAACGCTAATAGCTGTGCCTTAACGTGACACAACTCGTTGCTTTTTACGACTTTAATGGCAAACGTAATCTATTGCATTTTCTAATTTGTTTGCTTTATAGCTTTATGGACACCAGGGAAATATAAGGAGTAAGAAGGCAGACTCGTGGAAGAAGGATGCTGGGTCAGGAGATGTGTGTTACTTACAACCGCTCTTAAATCAGACATGTAGGCATATAGAGCCAACCGATTAGCATTAGAGAGAGAGACAGTGATTGAAATGCTCCCCATACCCCTTCCCTCATCGACTCAAACAGCCCGCAGTTCTCCCCTATCAGCCCTCATGAAAAATAAATCTGAGTTTCAGGTCACAATCCAGTCGATTCCGAGTCAATCCGCCATAATTGGTTGGCGTCACATGGCGGCAGAGCTGAAATCTATCGGGCAGCGAGGCTGGAGGAGGCCTAATTGGTGTCAGCTCAGGTTGCACCGCTTCTGCAGGAACACAGGTCTTCCCTGCAAACCCTCTGGCAGACACAGCTTATACCATTCTGCTCGTAGACTCTTCATTCCTCTCTCCTCCCTTTGTCTTTCCATCTTCTGCTCGGGGAGAGAGGTTGAGGATTTCAGCAATTTTTGAATTAAATACAATTATGCACCTTTCACAGAGGCGTGTGTGAGCGGTGGGTTTCCTCTCCGGAGGTTTTTCTTTTAATCTGTGAACTAAAGGTTTAGTTGGCTGTTAGCAGTACCTAGCATTGAGCTGAACCTGTTCATCACGTGTCTAGCAACACTGTGGATTAGCCTCAGAGCAGTGCTAACAGATCTTGTATTTCGGCATATTTATGGAAAATATAGCAGAAAAATGTACATTACTGAAATATTTAAAGGGGCCCTATTATGCTTTTTTTGGGTTTCCCTTTCCTGTAGTGTGTTTATATAGGTGTGTGTGAATGCAAATGGTCTGCAGAGTGAATTTCCCCCCCCCCGCCTGAACCGCCAAAATAACATTATGACATCATTATGTAACACTCGCGCTTTCATTGGCTAGCACTCCAACAAATTGTATGTGATAAGCTTAGGGGCGGGACATCTCTAAGCGGGTTGACCAATCACAACCGAGCTGGCCAGCTGGTCAGAGCAGACTGGGAGGCAGTATGAGAAAAGTAAAGACCTTTTTGAACATTAAAGCATGGAGAGACACAGCATAGAAGTATAAAACTGAAATTTAGCAAAATATTAAATGCAAAACCTTTACTTATATTGAAGTATTTATATACACTGAGGTATTGCTACTTATTTCTATAAACGATCTAAGTACTTCTACCACCGGATCATGTGATTGTCTATTTGCTATCAGATCAAATGAAACAACAGCTTCAAAGTATTTTTTTGTTCTTGATATCAAGCTATTGGTGCTCATCTGTTGTTTGTTGTTTTTTCGTTGCTCATTCATCTCACACTAAATCAGGAAAATGACTAAATGACTCTGGTCTGTCAAAATGACTCATAATGTAGATTGTGAACTCAGCATGAGGTGACAAGGTGTCATCTGCTCAAAGGCACATTAACATGACAGCAGTAATCACGAAGAAAAAGGAGATAATTGCATTTTAAGATCGCTAGTCACTTTACATGTTATAAGCAATTGAGGTGAAACTATTATGATTTTCAAACGCAGTGTAAGTGTGCTTACATACAGCAATTTGCTGCTAAAAGGTGCCTTGCGGTGTTATTGTTGCAATCACTTACAAAGTTCAACCAAACATTGTTATTAAATTGCAAATTCATTGTGTGCTAGTCTTTAGTTTCCTGCCGCAGTAAATATTCTGTGAAAGAGAAGCAGTGGTGTAGATTTCCACATTACACTTCTTACCCCTTGGAGCCTCATAGCCTATGGCACTTGGTATTGTGCCCGAGGAAAAGCAGAACCATTCACACTGTGTCTTTCATTAAGTCATGGCACAGCCACATCATCATATCCTTAGAAGCCCCCCAGGAGGGAACCAGCTCTTGTTTTAGTTTCACTATCTGCAGATTGATTTGGAATATAAAATACCAATATGTGCAAGCTATTGGTAAGTGTGCAATGCTACAACAAAGCAAAACCAGAACATTGGGCTATCATTTCAATACGGCGTCACTGAATAAAAAAACATAGAGCCTCTTTCTTAGGACCCTTAAAAGTGTATCTGTTAAACCTGATTGGTACAGCTCTATGATCGACAGCAGATATCACTCGAAAGACTTTCATCATTGCCCACATCAGATGTACAGTGATTTGGCTGAGGCCTCCTCACTGATTTATCTGGCGCTCTGCAGCTACTTAAGGGGCTCCCACGTACCGTCAGCTCCTGCCCTTTGACCTCTGCTCTCAATAGGAGACAGTAATTAAGGGCTGATTTCTCCTGCAGACTCTCTGCAGGATTAAATATTTCATCACATCCCTTCCCGGCACTAAATAGGAGGGCTCTGAGGAATTGGGACACACCCACCCAGAGCAAAGGGGGATTTTTTTCTAATGACACTGCAAGCACCTTATGATAAACTATAGGGTTAAAGAGCACATGCTGTACACACAAGGGGACACTTAATCATCCAGTACCCACCGCGGGGAACAATTGATCATCTCCAGGGCTGTTTGTACTGTGACTACGCAGCTTAAGAGAACAGCCACTACAGTGCACATTTCTTCTTCTCTTTGTTGTTTCTAATAATGTTGGCAGAGGGAAAAGGTACAGGGTCATCGAAGCTCTACATCCTGCCAAACCCGACCCATTGTTACTTTTATATGGCAATGAAAGGAATGATTAGAAAAATATGAATCGCAATGATTGAAAAGGCCGTTTGCAAAATAGACATGTAATTGGAAAACTATTTTTAAGAACAAGTTCATAGCCCTTTTTAAAAACGAATTTATACAGATACAGAAATGGGTCCTTGTGGTCTTACAAACATTTTGAATGCATTTTCTTCCTCATTTGCGGAGCCGCCAGACTAGGGCTGAACGATATATCGTGTCATGGCGATAACCGCGATATGCGCATGCGCGATATTCACATCGCAGGGAAGTTTTTTTCATTTTTTTTTTTTAGGACGTGCGATATTAATTAGGTAAATTAACTCAAACACGTCATGTTACAATTATTTTGCTGCTTGCTAAAAAAGGAAAACTTGCGTGGCTCTCATGTCAGGGGTACTTGAGTGAGTGACATGCAGGCTCTGCATGCACAGCAAGCCACCAATCACAATCATTCTTGATCAGATCACAGCAGGCCCCGCCCCGCTAGTTTGCAGACCATCAAAACACTGGTAAAAAAGGAGCGAGGCACAGGAGGACAATACCGGCGAGAATGAAGATTTACTTCCAAAAAGAAAAGCAACATCTGCCATC